GGAGCCTGTCTTGAGGGGGCTGAGAGGATCCTGTCCTCTGGGGACCAAGACGAGGTCTGCACAACCGAGAGGGGGTGTGCATAGCAGAGAGAGAAGGGCCTGCTTGCTGGCATGGCCAAGGGGAGCTGAGAGAGCTGTTCTGAAATGACAAAGAAAGGGATGGTGCTCTCCTCTTTGGGGGGAACTACATGCTTCCTGATCCCGATCCCAAGTTGTAGCCTGTCGAAACCAATCCCATGTTGTATCCTGTACCTTAATAAATCACGTAACTGTAAATATGGTCTGTGAGTTCTATGTGGCCATTGCAATGGATTACTGAACCCAGAAGAGAAATAGAGTGCCGTTGGAGGGACAGCTGACATCAGAACTAGAGAATGGAAGGATGTCTGACCTCCATCTCATAGGGAACAGTCTTGGGCTGATCTTGATTTGCATTATCCCCCCCTGAAATGAAACAGGTTCTGATGCCACTACTACCATTTTACAACTACAAACTCAGACAACCCTTATCATGTACAACAGCAACCCTTTATGCCATTTTGGGACAAGGATCCTGCCTGAAATCAATAAATGAGTTGCCTTCAAGTTGATTACAACTCATGGCAACCCCATGTGTGTCAAGAGTAAAACCGTGCTCTGTAATTTTCAGTGGCTGATTTTTAGAACTAGATGGGCAGGCCTTTCTTCCAAGGCAATTCCGGGTGGACTCAAACCTCCAACCTTTTAGTTAGCAGGCAAGCACATTAACTGTTTGGACCACCCAGGGACTCCATCTACAGTCAGCACTAGCCGCTTGGTTCTCAGTTACGTGTCCCAGTAAGTTCCTTCTGTTCCTTTCAACCAGTTTGCGTTGTTTCTTTCACAACCCTGAGAGATCACAACGCAGCTCTAGAGGCACAGGGCCCAGACGTGGGAGAAGCTCACCTGGCCAACAGCAGGTAGCGGCTGAGGACGCGGAGCAGGGCGCGGGTGCCCCCACGGTGGAAGTGCAAGGCAGGAAGGGAGCCTCCGGCCTGGGTCACCAGAACCAGGTAGGCCCAGTTCAGGCCTGGCTTAGAACGGCGGATGGACTTGAGCTCCCCTAGACTCACGGAGAAGGCCCAGGAGTCCTGGGAGGAGCTGCGCTCTGCAACTAAAGAGGACGACGTCATGTTGGTTAGGGGCACAAGGAGCCAGAGGTGCCCATGTCAACTAAGGGCATCCATTCAGCACACAGTCAACTCTCAAGAGCCCCGTCCTGGGCCAGACCAGGCCCTGCCCTCTGGGAGCTCCAGGTCACCTCACACTTTGTTGGAAACACCCCAACTGAGTAAAATGAGAGGAGAAAAAAGTCAAGTGGGTATGCGCCTGCTCCAAAACCTTCTCAGTCTCCCCAGGACCTTGCAGATAAAGACCATATTCCTCAGCCTGGCAGTACAGGTCTCTCAGCTCTGTCCTCTGCCCCCTGCCTGTCTCATCTCCAACCCTCTTTACTCCAGACTCCAACAAAAGGCTGGTGGCTTCCTAAACACACCAGTGCCTCATGTCCTGTCCCCTGAACAGCTCCCAACTGTTCCTCAGAGCCAAGGTCTGCCATCACCTCTTCCTGGAAAGCTTCTCCACTGCCCTGGGCGGGGCGGGCCGGGGGGAGGGGTGGTGTTGGATGCCTCCTCCAACTACCCCCACACCCTGTGTGACTCCAGATAGTGTGACTCACTCTGCATCATGACTGACTCCATCTGTTGCCCCCATCAATCTGGAAATCTTTGGGGAGCAAGACTCAATTGAGGGTATCCACAGCCAATCCAGAAACCAATGGGATGAGCAAGGCTGCAAATCCCAGAGAGCCAGAGAGAGGTTGGCCATGATGGGAAGCCAGTGGTGGGTGGCCATTTTAACAGACTACAGCAAAGCCTTTGGAGCCATGACCACTGAGGGGAAGACCTGGCCCCCCGGGACACCACCTCAGCCTACCTCTTGTGGGCTCTGAGTGGCAGGGCTGTGGCCGCACAGTGCTGATGACGGCCCAGTCAGGTTCATAGCCGGGGTCAAAGGTCGGTTCTTCCTCAGACGTGCAGGAGTCACCCCCACTGGAGTCCTTGGATGACAGAAATGAGAAGTGAACGAACAACTATAGATTCGAACAGCTTCTCGATCTGAGCCACGAGGCACCCTGCAAGGCAGCCCCATCAAACAAAGAGGGAAACTGAGGCTCAGACAAGGCACACCACTTGCTAAGGGTAAGCTGGTACAGCCAGAACTGAGCCAGGACATGAACCCAAGTCTTTCAGCGATCTGAACCACATGGCACCACTGCACAGGGGAGGCATGTGTTACGGATCAGGTAGCTGGGGAGGAGAGCTCTGTAGTAACTGCTCTTAAAATGAGGTGCGACAGCTTCCTGCTGCTTTGGCTGTTTTCTGCTGACAAGCAAGGAGGTGAAGGCTTCATTGTCCTACACATGGAGAGGCAACTTTGGGGACCAACTCAGTTTTCCAGTGCTCAGTCCTTAGCTATGTGAGTGCCGGGAGAGCTGTTGTAGCAGTGGCTTCCTATCCCCTGGCTGGAAGCTTTGGGGGTGTGTTCTTGAACTCAACCGTTCTAGCAGCAGCCTCCTCACTTCCCACTGCCAGAATGAGATGGCAGCCATCCTGGCAGGTCAGTTCTGTGGTGTCATTCCATTGTAAAAATTCTGGAAGCCCCCAATTCCCTACATTAAATCTATTGTTCCCACAAATAGCTGGAGTGGATTTTAACTACTGCCAAGAAACCCTGCCTTGCTTATACAATAAAGCCAAGAAGGACCCAGACCATGTATCTATGCTGTTTCTGCGCCTTCTCCCAGACTGGCAAAACAGAGGCTGATTCACCCAATAGTTGTTTTCCCAGCCTTTCTTACAACTACGAGTGGTCTAGTCACCCAAGCCCCACCAGTGGGAGCTCAAAGGACACCTGTAGGAAGTTTGAGGCACATATAGAACATGGTGGCAGAACTGCACCTCTTCCAACCTGAGCACCCAGGATCTGAACACACAGACTGAGTTGTCCCTTTGCACCCTGATAGGGCTCTCCCAGGAAGCAAAGGGGCTGAGGAGGCAGCTGTCCCTGTGGCCAGATATCCTGGTTTCTGCTCCTTCCTTGAAAAGGGACTGTCAGCCCCATTCACAGAAGAGAAAACCAAAGGGCAGAGAGAAGCTGGTTCCCACCTAAGGGCCTGCATGCCCCAAGCGAAGGCCTGGGATTGTACCGGATCCCCCAAATGCCTTCCAATGTCCCAACCTAGAAACACCGAGAGGAGAAGGGAGCTATGCAGAAAGCCTACCTTCTTGGAGAAGAGGATTTGGGTGGAATCTCCAGCTTCCTCTACAGGAGCCCAGTGTAGGAAAACGTCATTGTCCTGAGAGAAAGGGAGGGGTTACAGGGGCTCCCCTCCAAGCTCCCCAAACCTCACTCCCAAAGCTTCCCACTGAAATTCTCTGGACTTCTTCCCTAGTACCCACTCTCGACCTTCTACAGCCCGGCCCCGCACTCCAGTCCCCACCCTCAGTCTTGCTAACGTTCCACACCTAAAGATCCCACCTCAATCCTGCCCCTCCACTCCCACCTTCTCCACGACACGGATGACGCCGGCGATGAGGGAGTCCGGATCCTGGTGTTTCTTGGCACTGGTGTGCAGGTACACACTTCCTTTCTCAAACACAACCTAGGCGCGGGCCCAGTGAGGGGCGGGCCCAGCGGGGGGCGGGCGGGCCCAGCGGGGGCGGGCGGACCCGGTGGGGGGCGGGGCCTAAGTTGGGTTGGGTGAGGAGGAGACGACGCCTAGGGAGGCGGAGCCCAAGAGGAAGCCAAGGGGGTGGACCCGGGGGACGGAGTTTTTCTCCCCAGGAGCCGGACCCAGGAGCATTCCGGAGGGGAAGGGGCTGAGGAGCGCTCCAAATCAGAAAGCCAGCGCGGCGTTCGGGAGCTGGTGCATTCCAAAGGGGGCGGGGCTCTAGTGAGCTTACCATAAACGCCCGAGCTCTAGGGGACGTTTACCAGGGGGGCGGGACCCAGGAGTCCATCTAGCCGCCTGGGAAAGCGGGGCCAAAAGATACTGTTCTCCCCCAGGGAGGTGACAGGGCGGGTGACAGCGCGTTTATATGGGAATGGTGATTGCTAAGGCCCGATCCGGCTCCTAGAGCCCAGGCACGGACTGAGGGAGACGCCGACCACCAGAAGGGGGCGTTTCACAACAACAGAAACAAGCGTAGGCGCCCTCAATGCTTACCCTGTAACCAGGTCTCTCCATAACCGCCGCCAAGGCTCCCCTGCCCCGGCCACCTCCTTTTCCGGGTAAACGAGGTGTCACATCCGGATATGAGACTCCCCCTCAAGCCCGGATAGTGGTAGCGCTCCTGCTCGTTCTAGAGCAAGAGTGGGCGAAACCATCTTTCAGAATCGGGTGGTTACTACAAGGGTTCGAATCACGTGGCGCAGACGCTAAATGTGGAGCTCTTAAATTGGAGGGCGCAGGCGCATTTGGACCGCCTCTTCACAAAGTAAACAAGGGGGCGGGACTAAGAGCTCTCCCTGAAACGCCTGCTTTTTCTCCATATTGTATACTGGCACGGAAGCCAAGGAGATGCCATTTTGCTCGAGGGCACGGCCAAAGCTGGCCAGCTGTAGCCATGTTAGTGAGGGGCAGTTCCATCTGTCTGCGGGGCGGGACAGCGAGGTCCTGGAAAAGAGGAATTGATAAAGGGAAAGAAGGTGAGAGAAACTGTACATCACAAGAGGCGCTGTGGGACTCGGTATAACGGGATGAAGCTCTCAGTGCCCCCGGGAACGAAGCAGTCCCAGAAGAATTCTTGAGTCACTATCGAAAAAGAAAACGAGCTGAGTCGCCATATTGAAGCTGGGCAAACCGAAGCAAGAAAGGCTGCCATATTGGATTTTTGCCAGCCTTGGTGCTGATGGGGTGTAAGGTCAGAGAGAGAGAATCCAGATACAATATAGGCAGACGAAGCCAGGCTGGCCGCCATGTTTATTAATGGGCACTGCTTTCCTTCAATAGAAGATGTTGATTATGGGTGAGGAACATCAGGTCGCTTGCCTTAGTTTATCGTGGTCCTGAGTGAGCATGTGCGAGGTAGCCATATTTCTTGGGGGCAAATCGAAATGGTCTCGGCTTGTTTCTGAGCAAGCTGAAGCCTTTCTTATCGTCATCTTTCTTACGGGCACCCCTCTGTCAGCCACTGCGCCCGACTGTGGTCCGTATGAACTTCTAGGTCGCCGGCGGCCGGGAAAAGGAGGCGGGCTGTGCAGCGTGGAGGAGGGCCAAGCGAGCGGAAGTGACGCAAGGTGCCGCCATGTCTTTTGAGGGCCGCGACGGCGCAGGGCCAGCCATGCTGGCTACGGGCACGTGAGTGGAGGCGGCGTTGTGAACCGCGGTGTGGGGAGGATTTGGGTGTCCCGAGGCCGAGGGGCACTGGGAGGGCGAGCGACTCGCGGCAGGGGTATGGCCTGCGTACATCAGAGGGCATAGGTCGCCCAGCGACCCTTCTCTGAGGGCTGGGAAGGGGTCGCCCGCGGGAACTGTCGTGTCTGACCCGCGGCAAAACCTAGACAGCCTTACTCTCCGGTCTGCAGACCCACTAGGATCCTTATCTTGGTCGTGGACCTTGCCCATGGGGGTCGGGGGTGGTGGTCTGGGGGCCTTGGGGTGCCCCTCACCCGCCCAAAGGCGGGACTTCCGGTCGTGACCCCGACCTGGGCGGGATTTCCTGTTTTCTTCCCAGAGATGGGAGTCCTCCCAAGACCCCCCTCGAGCGAGATGGAGAGGAGTCTCTTAGCAGTCGAGAATGGCCCCAGACCCTCACTCCATCCTAGGCTCTGGGGTGCATCCTCGAATTTCTCACACCTTCGGGTGGGCCGGGCTTCCAGTTTGACAGGTGGATGGGGTGGGAGGTCTTCACTGGTGTCACTCATTCCTTGTGGGACTCTCCTCACCCCTCAACTTCTCCTGCAGTCCGTCTCTCCACTTTCTCTTCTTTCCTCCTACCTCTCTTCCCTCCTCAGCTCATCCTAAGAGGCCAGTCACCTTTCTCCTCCCCTTTTTTGGGACGCAGGTCTCTCACCGCTTTCTCTTTTACCCCTAATCTCCTCGCCCATGCGGGTAGTCTTCCCCAGTCTCTCAGCTCCTTGGGGGTTACAGAAGCTGAAGGGGAGGGAGGCTTCCCAGATTTTGGCTACTCCTTGCTACTCCCCCCTTTTGCCCGTGCCTCCTCTTTGGGGTTGGGGGAGGTCTCATGACCCATTGACTCTTGTTTCACTCTTTTCAGCCCTGTATCTTGTGGGTACTCCAAGGTCTAGCTCAGAGAGAGTTTCATCCTGATGCTCTCTTCTGGCAAGCCCCCTTCCCGATTCCCTATATGTCATTAGGGGCCCAACAGTGAGAGCCCCAGGCCTGGCATTGCCAATCTGTGTGACCTTGGACCAGTCAGTACTCCACTCTGAGCCTCAGTTTCCTCCTTCGTCAGATGGAGACGACATGAGGAGTGTGTGTGAGGTACCGCGCACCAGCAGCTCCCGTTTTTGATGAACTTTGGGGTCCAGCCAACAGTAGTTGCAACCCCAGTTCACTCTTTCTAGCTTTGTGACTTCTGGCCAATGTCTTAAGCTCTCTGAGCCCCAGTTTCCCCATCTGGATAAGGAGATTGTAAATCTTCCCTCCTAAGGTAGACAGGATGGCATTAGTGATTAAGAGCAGGCTCTGGGATCACACTGTCAGAGTCCAAGTCCCCACTCTCCCTCTTTTCAGCTATGTGACCGTGGTTGAGTGACCGAATCGCCCTGGGCCTCAGTTTGCAACTGTAAAGTGGATGACTGGTAGGTTGGTGTGAGAGTGGAATGAGAGACAGTGTATGACATTCACTTCTTGCCTGGTGTGTGGTTAGTGCTCGATAACCCTCTTGCTATGGTGTCTTGTCAGGGATGGTGGTGGGTGTACCCTCACCTGTGGCTTCCACCAAGGGCTTTGAGGTAACAAATCCTACCTTGGTGGGTCAGATAGGACATGACATGTGGAGTCACCTACTCAGAGGCGGGGCTCAGGAAACGGCTTCTATAATCATGAGTCGCAAAGGGTCTATGAGTTGAATCCAAACTGGTGGGGTCTCTGCTTGAATCCACTACCTCCCTAAGGAGGCTCCTCAACTTGCAATAGCTCTGGCTAACCACTCTGGTTTATGGGGGAAGAAAGGCACAGAGAGGGCCAGTGAGTGGTACAAAGTCACAAAGCAGGTTGGAGACAGAGGCAGAGCAGGAACCCAGCCCCCCTACCCCGTGTTTTTCACACCTCGTAAGGAGATGCATCCAGCAGACTGTCCACTTGGGGCAGGCCTGGCCTGGGGAGGTCACAGTCTGATGGAGGAAGCAGACAGAGGTACAGCTGTCACAGGCTCAGGTGATGTGAGCTATAAGGGAGGTAGCCCAGAGCCTTGTGGGGGCCAGGGGAAGCCATCTGATCCATGAAGAGAGTCAGGGAAAATGTCCTAGAGGAACTGCCAGAACAGTCTTGTAGGAAGTGCAGAAGCTTCATGGGAGGGTTTCCAGGCACAGAGAGCCGCTCACTCACCATTTTCTACATTCATCCAAATTCTGCTCTGTGAGGCTTGCCGTGTGCCAGTCATGGCTGGGGGCTCAGAGATGAACCCACAGGCCTGCCCTCAGGAGGCTCCCAGCTTTCCAGAGTGATGTGTGCTCAAATGGGAGTCCCTCAGGCATTGTGGGAGCCCAAAGGAGGGGCCTGACTCACCTAGGGATGAAATACCCTGATACCCAAGGTGTGTGTGGGAGATCATGAACGGTAAACAAGAGACCCATGTAGGAAGGCTGGGGGCCTCAAGGGCTCTGGTAAGGCTGAAGTAGAACCTATGGGCTGTGATGTGGGGGCGGGGCCACACCACCTAGGGCCTCCGTTGCTAAGCTGAGACACTTGGACTGTGTCCTGGGGATGCTGGGGAGGGGCAGGGTTAGCTCTGGGTGTAGAAAGACCCCTCTGGGGCCAGGTGTGGGGACAGGCTAGGAGGCCAGGTAAAAGGCTGGGGCAAGGGTTTAGGGAGTTCTGTCCAGTAGAAATATAACATAAACCATGTATATAATTTAGAATATTCTAGAAGCCATGTTAAAAAAGTAAAAAACAGATGAAATAATTTTCATAGTATATCTTATTTAGCCAATCTTTCTGAAATGTGTTCATTTTAACCTGTAATCACTATCAAAAATTTCATCAATGAGATAGCTGACCTTCTGTTATTGTGTATTTGACACCGAAAACTCAAAACCTATTGCTTTCGAGTTGATTCCAACCCATAGTGACCCCAGAGGACAGAGTAGAACTGCCCCATAGGATTTCCAAGGAGCAGCTGGTAGATTTGAACTGCTAACCTTTTGGTTAGCAGCCAAGCCCTTAACCAGTGCACTACCAGGGCTCCTTGACACCATCTCTATTGGGACCAGCTGCGTTTCCCGTCCCGCGTAGCTGGTGGCTCCCATAGTGGACAGAGTAGATCCAAAGGCACAGGCTGGGGCCGTGGGGACAAATGGGACAGATGGGGAGATTTGAGGGGCAGGAGTGATGGGGCTGGGGTTGAGGACAGTGTCCTGAGGCCTGGCCTGGTGACCTGGTAGACAGTGAGGCCATCCCTAGATGAGGGAACCACTGAAGAGTAGTCAGTTTGGGGGAAGGTCCTGAGCACGGCTGGGACGAGCTAGGTGGGTGGGGTCTGAGCAGCATCCAGGTGACAGCTGGATAAGTGGGGTTGGAGTTGGGAGGTGCAGGTCTGGGCACCTCACGTAAGCCCAGCTCTGCTCTGCTCTGCCCCACAGGGCGCGGATGGCGTCGGGGCGCCCCGAGGAGCTGTGGGAGGCTGTGGTGAGAGCTGCTGAGTGCTTCCGGGCCCGGACTGGCACAGAGCTGGTGCTGCTGACAGCCACCCCACCCCCCCGCCCAGGCCCCTGCAGCTATGCGGCCCATGGCCGGGGGGCCCTGGCTGAGGCTGCCCGTCGCTGCCTCCATGACATTGCCCTGGCCCATGGGGTAGCTGCTGCTGCTCGGCCCCCTGTGCCCCGACTGTTGCCACAGCCACCCAGCCCCGTGCGGAGCCCACCCCGGCCAGCCCTGGCCAGGGAGGAAGACGAGGAGGATGAGGATGAGCCAACAGAGACAGAGACCTCCGGGGAGAGGCTGGGCGTCAGCGATAATGGAGGTGAGAGGGGTCCAGGGCCGGGGCTGGCCTGGCTCACAGTTGGGCAAGCTCTTCTCACCCTCAGCAGGACCTTGTTGTCTCTCAGTGCTCATATTCTAGGGAAGCTGCAGTCTTAAGACATCGAGAGCTGCACAGGCCTGCCCCTGGCTCGCTGTGGGGCCTGGGCAAGTGATCTCCTCTATCTGAGCCTCTGTTCCTTACTCTGGTGACTCAGGGCCAGCTTGGTGCTGCAAGGGGCTGGGCTCAGAGACACCAAGCACACTCGGCCCTCTTCTTGGGGGGCTGTCAGTTTGGCTGAGGAATTGCAACCTCAGTGTGAGGCAATGCCCTATGGAGGCTGTGGGGTCTGGGGGGCTTCCCTCCTGAGCTGGGAACATGAGCAGATCGGGATCTGTTTCCGTATCTGGGGACCCAAACGTCTGGGAGGCTGAAGAGGAGAAAGGGGTACGACTAATAGCTGAGGAAGCCAGGGGAGGGGGCAGACAGCGGTCTTGATGGGAATTTGGAGGTAGGAGGCTTCCCAGAGACTGGTCTGTAAGACTAGAACCCTGAAGGGTGCATAGGCGTTTGCAGGTGGCTCAATAAATAAAACCTGTGCCCTTCAAGTCTGTTCCAACTCGTAGTGACCCTATAGGACAGAATAGGACTGCCCCGTAGGGTTTCCAAGGCTGTAATCTTTAGGGGAGCAGACCGCCAGGTCTTTTCTCCCACAGAACAGCTGGTGGATTCAAACTGCCGACATTTGTTAGCAGCTGAGCGCTTAAACCACTGTGCCACCAGGGCTCCTTTGCTCAATTAATAGGAGTTACTATTTTGTTATTATCATTACCAATGACTGGCCTCCTCACGATACTGGAGAAACCCCTCATAGGGTTAAGGGCACAGACTCGAGCTAGGCAGCCTAGGTTCAAATCCAAGTGATGCTACTTTTTAGCTGTGGGACCTTGGGCAAGTGACTTAACCTCTCTGTGCCTCCAGGTCACCATTTGTAAAATAGGGATCATAATTGCCCTTGTTTTCACCCAAGAGTGTAACAGATAGAAAGAAACTGGATTTATTTCTGCCGATGACCAGGCAGTTAGCCAGGGGAAGGGTGTTCTCAGCAGAGGGAACACAAATCGCTGAAGCCCTGAAGCTTGAAAGGGCCTGGCATGTAGAGAGCAGAGAGGCGGTGTAGTGGTTGTAGTTGGAGGTGCATGGGGTGCAGTGGGGACCAGATTGGCCCGGGCCTCTCGTGCCATCTGCAGGGCTCTTTGTGATGGACGAGGACGCCACCCTCCAGGACCTGCCCCCCTTCTGCGAGTCGGACCCCGAGAGCACCGATGGTGAGTGTCACAGGCTTCCCTTCCCCCCGAGGGACTGGGACAAGGGCAGGGACAGAGCCTGAGGCCCACGTTGTCTCTCAGACGGCAGCCTGAGCGAGGAGACCCCCACCGGCCCCACAGCCTACTCAGTGCCCCCAGCCTCAGCCCTGCCCACACAGCAGTATGCCAAGTCCTTGCCGGTGTCTGTGCCCATCTGGGCCTTCAAAGAGAAGAGGACAGAGGCACGGTCATCGGATGAGGAGAACGGGCAGGTGAGGGATGCATGGGGGAAGATGGAAGGGGGAGGCAAGTAAGAGGCGAAGCTGGAAAGGCTCAGAGCCACCTCCTCCACGAAGCCCCTCAGGCATTGAACTCCAGCACCTGGTGAGCCTTAAAATTCACTGAGCAGAAAGCTTGGTGAATCCTCATGTCAGCCTCACGAACCCTGCAGTCGTAACCATTATAGCTTGATAATGTGTCTCTTCTCATCTCCAAGAACAACTCCATTTTTAGAGTACCTGCTCAGGGCAGGACACCTGCCACACAGCATCTTGGCATCCCCTCCAGATGGGGAAACTGAGGCTCAGGAGTCAGATCACCCCCTACTCCTACTCCTCATATTCTGGTCCCTCCTGGGACTTTCCCACCCCCTTGTCCTCTTCCTGGGCTGGGCTGGCCTGGCTTGGGTAAGTCTTTGTTACTCATCACTAAAGCTCGCCAAGTCAGAGGGAAACCGAGGCACTGAGAGGACGTGTGACTTTCCCGGGGTCTCAGCCTGTCACGGGGAGACCTAGGATCAAAGCCCAGCTTCCTTTAGGAAGGAGCTGTGGGCTTCCAAGGAGGAGGCCTGGGTCCTCATGGTCCCCCCTCCCTGATGACACCTCTCTGGGCTACAGTATCCTCATCTGCAAACTTATGGGCTGTCCCAACGGCCCAGTGAGCCAGTGATGCTGGAGACCACAGACACCGCCTGGTCCAGCCACTGCTGTGGTTGCTGCTTGCGATTTGCAGAAATGCAGTTAATTAAGCGAGCGCTTGAGGCCCTCTGAGTGCTGGATACTTGGGCTGGCCTCTGGGTGGGCTTGGGTCCCCTCTGCCGATGGCCACTCTCATTCTGCTGGGGGGACAGCCACATCCTGGCTCAGTGTGTCGGGGGCTATAATGGACATAGCACTAGGCACTGGGGCTGTGAGTGGACGGAACGGCAAGACACCTCCAGAACAGCCTCCTGAGGAGGGGGACACAGAGAGGGACCCTATCTGTACAGCTCATGAGTGCTGACGATATGCTAGCTCACCTTTCTGGAGCAGTCATTGTGCTGATGGTCTCATTTTAGCCCTCACAGGACCTCTTTGTTAACCTGTTACCTCATTTTTCAGAGGAGGAGACTGAGGCTTAGTGTAGGGAAATCTCTTGTTCACTGTGGCAGAGCCCTGACTGAAACATGATTGAATCCCAAGCCCAAAGGCTTAGAGATGAGACTCCCTGGCTGCAGTCAGCCCCCATGGTCAGCAAAGGACACCTCTACAGTGTTAGAAGTGCAGGAGACAGCGGTCCCACAGCTGTGGCTGCTGGAAGCACCAGACCAAGAGGGGGTGGGTGAGAGGGGCAGGAGGGCTTCTTGGAGGAAGTGGTATCTGAGTCTCCCTGGGTGGTGCAAACGGTTTGCGCTTTGCTACTAACCTAAAGATTGGTGGTTCGAACCCACGCAGTGGCAGTCTGCTTCTGTAAAGATTACAGCCAGGAAAACCCTGTGGAGCTCAGTTCTACTCTGTAACACATGGGGTCACCACGAGCCGGAATCAACCACATGGTTATAGGTTTGGTTTGGGTTTGGCGTCTGAGTCCGGTAGAAGGGTGAAGGGCATTCCTGGCGGTGGGCGTCTCAGGGGCAAAAGTAGGGGCCGCAGCAAAGGAGGGAGTGAGGAAGGGGCCCCTTTCTGTGCTGACCGTGCCCCGTGGCCGTCTCCGCAGCCCTCCTCGCCGGACCTGGACCGCATCGCGGCGAGCATGCGCGCGCTGGTGCTGCGGGAGGCTGAGGACACCCAGGTCTTTGGGGACCTGCCGCGGCCACGGCTCAACACCAGCGACTTCCAGAAGCTAAAGCGGAAATACTAAGGCCGGCGGAGGCCCTGCCAGGCCCCCGGCCGCCCTGCCCCACACTACACCCCTGCCCCGCCCCCGGGGTCCGCCAATCAGAGGCAGGTCCGGGACCGGCCTCCTCACGTCTCCCGAGGCCCCGGGACTAACCGTCCTTGCCAGTCCCTATCTAGTGACAGGGGCGCCCTTCCAGCCCACGGCCCCCTCCTGCGCCAAGGAGGGAGACCAGTCCAATCTTTTGATTGGGTCTGTCGCCCCTTTGTCTGCCCAGCGACAGATCCTTTCCATTAAGGGATTGGCTCGCTCCCTTATCAGGGGTGTGGCTAGTAGTAAACAGTGGGTCGACCTCGTCGTTTTCTGGGTGGTGACAGGGCTTTGCTCGCTCGGCATGGGTTCCCTTCCAGAAACAGCGCAGTCAAGCCCCAGGATTGGGCAGTGGCAATCTACTGCCTGGTGACTGGGCCGCTCCTTCATTTTTGATTGGCTCGAGCTTGAAGGGCTTGACTCATTGCCCAAGAGTTAGCATTCCCCCTTCGCGAGTTCTCCCACTTGACTGGTTTCTGCCTACGGGGGGGGCGGGGGCGTGGGCAAGCCCTCCCATGCTCTTGGATTGGCCTGTGGCCTTCAATTTACGTTCTTTACACTACTGGGGCTGGGTTCGCCTTTGCCCAAACCCTGACCCTCTGGCCCGCCCCTTAGGGATGGTCCAATCTTTTTTTCTGCGTTCTGACACCTCGTCTCATTGGTTCCATCCCACAATAGCCTGCCAATCGAAGCCCGTCCTCGCATCCAGGACGATACCAGCTCCCGCCCCTCTCCCCCCATCCCCACTGGTGCCTTAAAGGGCCCTCGTCCACCCAAGGTGGGGGGCAGGGGGCCTTACTCTCCGGCCCTGGTGTGGAGGAGAGAGTGGGGGTAATGGGTCGGGAGTTAGGAGGGGCGCTCTGAGATTAAAGAGTTTTACCTCTGACAAATGAATATGAGGTGTTCGTCAACGTGTTCGAAGCTGAACGAGCAGCATCTCATTGATTCCTACCGCAGAGCTGGGAGGTGGGATAGTTGTCCCCATTTTACATATAAGGAAATGGCGATTCACAGGGCTGGGGTGGGGTAGGATTCCGGGTCTCTGTGACCGTGAAGCCTTAATCTCCAGGGGGGTGAGTGTTGGGACCGGAGTAGTTTTAAGGAGTCAGTCTCCTTGGTTAGCTCACATCTTCCCCAGCAAAGGCAAGAACCTCCAGCTGCAGCTGGTAATTTCCTACCACAAGAGGTCTGGGAGTTACAAAGCAGGTGGAACCTGGTCCGAAGTTAGGATTCGATAAAGTAAACATGGAACCCCTATCTGCCAACAGACACCACCGGAGGAATACTAGTAGACAACACTTAAATAGGACTTACTACGACCCTGACACTTTTCTAAGATACCTGCATGTATTGACTCCTTTGATTCTCTATTAGCCCCACGAAATAGAGACAATTATCCCCACTTTTTTTATAGATGACAAAACTACAGCATTGGGGTTAAAGCAAGAGAAGAATCTAAGAATAGGGCTGCTGTTGGGGGTACTGGGGTACTGGCAGCGAACTTCAAATGGGGAAGAGAACTTCCTCCCACTGTATTTACTTCCAGCAAAAGGGATGTAAATTAGAGTTCAGGGATGGTTAAGAGAACAATCTATAAACGGTAGACACGCTCGCCCCTACTGGCCAGAGCCTCACATTGCTGCAAGAGGAAAAGAGAGTGGCGGAGGGGCCGTCCTAGGTTTCGGACGGGGCGGGGCTGCAGTGGTGGGTGGAGCCAAGGCCCCGCCCCTCTCGGTGGAGCGAGTCATTTCCGTCCGCGGCGGAACTGAGAAATCGGCTGGCCGGGTTGTGGGCCGAGTGTCTTGGGCAGGAATTCTCTGGTCGGAAGTGGCGCCTGAGCCCGAGCAGCGTGCACAGGTGAGAGTGGGGGTGGGGGGCGAGCGCGATGCTCTCGGCTCTTGCCTTGTGAGTTTCGGATCCTGGCTCGCGGAAGGATGGAGCCAGGCGACGGAGGGAAGGGGACAGGAGTCGTCACCTGGGAAACAGCGCGAGCTGTTGGCCAGCGAAGGGGTGGGATTTCCGGAACAGAGCGCATTCTTGGAGGAAGGTGGGGAGCTGTTGTCAGTTCGGAGGAAGCGGGACTTCCTGTAGCAACTGCGTCCTCTAGGAAGTGTCATGAGGCGGGACTTCTGTGGGCCGCGCCGGCCTTCAAAATGAACCAAAAGAGGCGGGGTTTCTCACGGGCCAGGTAGGAGGATGGGCGGGGCCCAGACTTGCCATTCAAACTCGTTTACTTACTTTTCTCTAGGCCAGGGCCCAGGATGGCCGAGTTGGAGGCCGAGGGTCGCCTGTGGCTCGAAAGCCCCCCTGGGGGGGCGCTCCCCATCTTCTTGCCCACGAACGGGCAAGCCCTCATTCTGGGTCGGGGACCCCTGACCCGAGTCACCGACCGGAAGTGCTCACGAAACCAAGGTGGGCGGGGCCTGAGCTTGAGAGGTGTGGCCTACATCTGGGGGCGGGAACACAGTCAAAGGGAAAGCAAGCCATTAGGGAGATAGCTTGGCTGCTAGGCTGAACTGCGTGGTGCAAGCAATGGTGAACTTGGTAGATGGCCCCCGGGGAGTACAAGAAGAGCAAGGTTGTGCCTGACCTGGATTTGGCCATACCCTTTTGGGGGGAGGGGATGGAACAAATCCCAGGAGGTTTGTCAGTGGGCAGAGAAGGATGCTCACAGGACACTGTGAAGGCCTTAAACAGGCCACGACCCTTGTCAAGATGAGAGCCGATCCTATGGAGAAAAGTACCCGTCCTGTCCCTAAGCACGGATCAGAGGTCGCAGGCCATCCTAGAGCCTCAATGTGTTAAGGAGTGAGCCAGTTCCATTCGGAAATGAACTATGCCTCCTACTCCGCTAAGAATGCTGGTAGCCCAATCCTGTGGTCTGAAGCTGGTCACGCCCCCCAGTAATCAGGGAACCAATCACACAAGGGTGCGAATTCTGACTCTGCCTTTTCACTCTAAGTGGAGCTGATCGCAGACCCTGAGACCCGGACAGTGACGGTGAAACAGGTACCAGGACCCAACAAGGGACAGGAAGACCTGGGGCGGGGGAAGGAGTTGGGGGAGGACGCTCAACCCAGCAGGGAAAAGGGCCCATTGGAAAAATCTGATTGGCTGAGAATGGAGGGCGTGTGGCCAATAAGGGTTGACCCACACATCAAACCCTGGTTGGTTGCACACAGTAAAGAGGTGGGACTTAAGAGTCTGATTGGCAGTTGGTGAAAAGTGCTTCTCCACAGTGTCTGATTGGAGAAGGTTCTTGGTTGGGGCGCAGCCAGGTCTAGCTCTTCTCTTTTCCTCTCCTACAGCTGGGAGTTAACCCCTCAACTGCGGGGACCCAGGAGCTGAAGCCGGGGTTGGAGGGCTCTCTGGGGGTGGGAGACACGCTGTATTTGGTCAACGGCCTCCACCCCCTGACCCTGCGCTGGGAAGAGACCTGCACAGCGGGATCCCAGCCAGACACTCCGCCCGGCACCCTGCTGGTGGCTCCAGACTTGAAGGAGGATGCCGAGCCGCAGAAAAAGCGGATGCGGAAGTCATCCCCAGGCTGGGAGAACTTGGAGAAGCTGCTGACGTTCACGTCACCTGGGGTGAAGGCCCGGGGCAAGGTGAGGGCCAAGCTGAGGGCTGTGGGAGCCTCCACAGACGGAGGGCTCAACCTAAGTTTGTTGGGTGCCCTTGGGCAAGACACTAGACCTCTCCTAGCCTCCACTTCCTCTTCTACGAAATGGGCCTGGCGACAAATTCAGGGGTGGTTGTCAGCCTTGGAGGAAATGGTGTACCTCAACTTCTGCCTGACCCAATAACCACCCGGTGATTAGGGTCATTTTCCCAGGAGCTATGTGGTCACTATGACTCGGAATCCACTCGACGGCAACGGCGCGGGGGAGGGAGAGGGAGTTAGGAGGTGTGGTTTTTAGGACCAGAGACGAGTTCAAATGCGGTTCCCTCTAAGTTCCAGCGGAGGGCGCTGCTTTGTTTCTCTGTGCCCCACCTCCCTCCTCAAATGATAAATCCACGAAAAGCACGTGCCAACAGTTAGCACCCAAATAAAACTCAGCTCCTGTTTTTATTTTCATGATAATTTACCCTCTGAGGTGGAGGAGGCCAGAGGAGGAGGGTGGGCGAAATATTAACCCCCGTTTTCAAGACTGGAAGACAGGGGCAGAGGAAGAATAAACCAAAAAAACCAAACGCGTTGCCCGTAAGTTGATTCTGACTCATAGCGACCCTATGGGACAGGGTAGAACTGCCCCCGTAGTTTCCAAGGAGCACCTGGTGGATTCAAACTGCCGACCTTATGGTTAGCAGCTGTGGAACTCAACCGCTATGCCACCAGGGTTTCCAGAAGAAGAATGAGAGCCAGTAAAGTTCCCATTTCAGGCTCTGCACTCGGAGAATCCCCGCCATGCCTGAGACATTTACGGTTTCTGTGGTTCGGTTTTCCCACCCGTAAAATGGGCATGGTAAGAGTGCCTCCCTCGCAGACGGCCATGAGTCAGCCTGTGAGTGAGGAGGATGAGCCTGGTGATGGAGCTGCCGTTCCTCCTTCTCCCGACACCAGGTGGCCGGCTTTGATTTGGATGGGACCCTCATCACTACACGCTCTGGGAAGGTCTTTCCCACCAGCCCCAGCGACTGGAAGTGAGAAGAGGGGAGGGAGGAAAGGAGGCCTCAGTCCACCTCCGGGCCCTAGGTCACCCTTGCTGCTTCCCCGCCTGTCCTAGGATTTTGTACCCCGAGATTCCGCGGAAGCTCCGTGAGCTGGAAACCAAGGGCTATAAGGTGTGTGTGGGTACACGCCCATGCACGCACACGTGCAGCAGCCAGGTCTCGCTGAGGAGGGGGCCCTGGGGATGAAGGCAACAGATGACACCCATCTCCTCCCCAGCTGGTGATCTTCACCAACCAGATGGGCATCGGGCGTGGGAAGCTGCCAGCAGAGGAGTTCAAGGCCAAAGTGGAGGCTGTGGTGGAGAAGCTGGGGGTCCCATTCCAGGTATGGCTGGAAGGGAAGCTAAGGGCCCTGTGGGGGTTCAGAGATCTGGGGGGAGAGATAGAGACCCAGAGAGAGGGATAGAGTCCCTGGGGTGAGTGGGGTAAAGGCCCCAGGGAGGTTAGGCTGACAGAAACCCATCATAAACTGCAAATTCGGGGCATGACCGCTCTCCAGGGTTGTTGAGGGTTGGGGTAGCATCCAGTGGGGCCCTGTACCCTGAAGAATGCTACGTGCTCAAGGAAGAGCTAAGAATGGGATCTGAGCTCCCTGCTGCCCACAGGTTTTGGTGGCCACACATGCTGGCTTGTACCGGAAGCCACTGACTGGCATGTGGGACCATCTGCAGGAGCAGGTGAGCTGCCGCCTCTCTGCCGCCTGCCCCCCCTGCCACTCTTTCCTTCACTCATTCCTTCATTCATTCATGTGTACGTTTGTTCTGAAGTTCGATACATTCTTGAGCTAGACATATTAGTGAGCAAGGCAGACACACCAACCCCATCAGCCTTCACAGCGCAGTTGGCCAACTAAATTAAGCAAGATAAACCAGGGGTGTTGTTTTAGCTCAGATGGTCAGGGAAGGCCTCTGAGCAGGTGACATGAAGATCTAAAGGAGAGAAGAGAGCATTCCAGGAGGGAGTAACAGCAACTGCAAAGGCCCTGAGACAGGAGTGGGCTTGGAGTATAGGAGGAACAGGGAGGCCAGTGTGGTTACAGCTGAGTGGTCAAGGTGGAGAGGACAGGGGATGAGGGCAGAGAGGGGACTGAATCAAGAGTACATGATGTGAGGGTTGTGGCCACCAGGGTGAAGAGTTTGCCTTGACTCTGAGGGAGGCAGGAGCCACAGGAGGACTGTGAGCTGAGACAGGAGTTGCTTAAGTGGTATCGAGCGCCCTCTGGTGGCTATGTGGGGAACACACTAGGAGCAAGGGCAGAAGTGGGGTTGGTGTGAAATGGTGGGATTGGCTATGGGACTTATGACAGGTAAAAGATCAGCCTAATGCTTTACACTGTTAATGCTTTAGGGGAACAGAGGTGTAGGAATGGCTCCTCACTGCCTGCTGTCCATCCTCCTGTCTCTCCCCTCAGGCCAACGAGGGCGTACCTCTCTCCATCGAGGACAGCCTCTTCGTGGGAGGTGAGCGCCCGGGGTAAACTGTGGGCGCCCTGGGGCCCCCGCTGTCACCAGTTGCTAGTGGAGACTGTATCCCCTGGTGTTTCAGACGCAGCCGGTCGCCCTGCCAACTGGGCCCCTGGGCGGAAGAAGAAAGACTTCTCTTGTGCAGACCGCCTGGTGAGGCCCCCGCCCCCATTCTTGCCCTCTGGGAGCCCCTTGGCTCCCCTTCTTACCTCTGCCCTCACCCCCAGTTCGCCCTCAACCTCGGCCTGACCTTCACCACGCCCGAGGAGTTCTTTCTTAAGTGGCCCGCAGCCAGCTTCGAGCTCCCGGCCTTTGACCCGGTGAGGCCCGCGTTCAGGTGGGAGGGGAGCCATGTAGGGATGGACTGGGGTCTCATCTTTCCTGTCTGGCCCCCCAGAGGACTGTCGCCTCCTCGGGGCCTCTCTGCTTCCCTGAGTCTAGCTCCCTTCTGAGCTCTGACCCTGAGGTGGTCGTCGCTGTGGGATTTCCTGGGGGTAAGATGCCCTGACCCCTGACCTCCAGGTGCCCCCAGCCCTTCTCTCGGTCCCAAGATACCCACTTACAATGCACCCCCACCTCACAGCTGGGAAGTCCACCTTCCTCAAGGAGCATCTGGTGTCGGCTGGATACATCTATGTGAACAGGGTATGCACCTCTGTCTGCAGCACCCCTCTCCAAATGAGTTGGTCCCTGTCCCCCATTATGTCTCTGGGGCCCAGCTTCCCTCCCCAGCTACTGCCTCCCTCCCTGCCATATCTCCTCCATCTTTGGGTGTCTGCCCCCCCCCATCTGGGTCCCTGTCCACCTCCTTCTGGGTCCCTGTCCCCGTCTGGGTCTTCCTGCCCCCTGGGTCTCCTGACCTTCCCTGTTCACGACCTTCTCTCCCATGCCCCTCAGGACACCCTGGGTTCCTGGCAGCGCTGTGTGACCACCTGCGAGGCATCCCTAAAGCAGAAGAAGCGGGTCGTGATCGACAACACAAATCCAGATGCCCTGAGCCGGGCCAGGTACCAGGGTCCCACAGGAAGCCTCCCATAGGATGGGCCGGGGCCACGTTACTAGCCCAGAACCTTCCTGGCCCCCAAACAGGTATATCAAGTGTGCCCAAGACGCAGGTGTCCCTTGCCGCTGCTTTCTCTTCACCGCCACCCTGGAGCAGGCGCGCCACAACAACCGCGTGAGCCCCCTGCCCTACCCGGAC